CAAAACTTTCTAGGCCTGGAAATTGCTGTTCAATGACTTTTCCAGGTTTTTTATGACCGTACGAACCCTAATGTGATGATCGGGTGTGGGTCGGGTGCGGTTATCTAAATCGGACAAAAATACAGGTGCGGGCGGTTGGCGGGTGGATAATTTATTTGAAGCTGCGGATTCGGGTGACGTTTTAGCTCATCCGCGCATCACTAATATATATATATATATAATCATTAAATAATTATTTAGAATAATTACAATTATGATTTAAATTATATATAAATATATGTATGTGAGTGTGTGTAAACATGCATAAAATGTATGCAAATTTGTTAAATGCAGAGGTTGCAGTTACCAGCTTGTGAGCCAGTCTGAGCAGCAGATACAGCAGGTGGTGCTCGTGGCATGAAATCCAGGCACTCATGTGAGAAACAGAGGGCATGGCTCCGATACAAGACCGCAGATAACTCAGTACAGAGTCCGAGAGGATGAGAGGACTGAACTGATGAGAGACAAGAGAAAGAAATTTACCACCAAGTTTATCTCAGCTCTTTTTTTCGAGATCAAAAGGAATTTACCTTCTTTAGTAAGCCTTTGTGGATGGAGGTGATGGTGTTCAGCAGGTACAGGAGGGCAGTAGGGAGAGACAGAGGGGAGTTGGGCCCTGCTATTGTGCTGGAGGTCTTCATCCTCGAGCAGCCCAGACCTGGCAGACTGGAGACGACCTCCCCACCAGCCGCACTCAGCCCGGGGTTACAGATCATAGAGCTGGACCTGCAGCAGGAGAAGAGAACATAATCACTATTATGTTCCAATTATACAATATCTGTTCTTTTTGTATGGCTCAAAATTATCACTATAGACTAAATTACAAGTTACTTAGATCTAACATACAATATAAGCATAGTCTTATCCTATATTTATTTATTTAGTTAGTTATTTCCCATATGAGCGTCAATGACTATATTAATGGCAAAAATAATACAACATACAATTAAACTTCTAAAAAAATGAGTCACCTCCAATAGAATTCAAGAAATATATTTTACTTGATTCTTTAAGCAAACAAGTAAACTGTAAAGAAAAACTAACAGTCATATATTAGTAATTTTATTGTGTATGTACACTGTAACACCACAAATAAAGTCATTATAATTTTATATTATATTATATTATATTACAGTATATATTGTTGTGGATATGTTTAATTCTCTTAATGCAGAAACTATCGGTCAATAGGTTTCTAAAAGTTAATAACTGATTTGTTTAAAAAAAACATGAATTAATAGGATATATATATAGTAACAGATGTAGTTAATCTCATGAAATCTCAGTAATAGTTCACTGTACCTAAAGCAGCTGGTTATATTTTGCATGGCCTGATGGGATATCAGTGGCAGAAGCACGTCTGAAGTTAGTGACTCGAGTTCCTGTAGACACTGTACCGGCTGGAAAGAGCTCTGACAAAGGAATCAGATCAGATCATTCACATTACATATGCAAAGGATGGTAATTATTTTAAATATCTGTAATTTTAGGCCCATTTGCGCTAAGAGTTTAAGTTACCACAACTACATTTTTATATAATCCAAAGGGATAAATATATGAAAGAAAAAAGTACGCAAGGCTGTGAATGGCACTCAATTTCTACTAGCAGTGTAAAAAAAAAAATTTAAAATGCTTTTTTGTGAAGATACATTATCAGCAGCTATTTTGTGCAGACAGCATTATCTTGCCTTGAGGGATCTGACTGAATGCGCTGAATAATGTGGAATAATCGTTCATATTGTGGTGTTTATCACACCAGAAGCTTTAATGAAGGGCAGTTTGGACCTAAAAGAAGCCACTGATTATCCACTTTGATTCAATAAATAAATCCAGATGTCCTAACATATGCATTTATTGATTGTACATAAAAGTGGCTAAATATAAGCTTCAGGTAGATTTTACATGCCTCCAGAAGAACAGGCTGTTTTTAAAATAACCTTGTTTAGGGGCTCTGGTGTGACACTGGCTTTGATGCTTATTTCTTTCTTATTAATACCTACTTGTACACAGAGCTGTGAATAATACGCCTCCATGTAGAGCAGGTAGGATGGAAGCAGAATCAGAGCACTTGACATTTGAGCTGGGCCATCGAGTGCTCTCACACAGCCCTTGAGAGAGCTAATGACAGTGGGCTGGAGACCCGTCACATGACTCCACACAACCGGAGGAGGTGGAGGACACTCTGCACCCTGAGCACTGTCAATACACACAGAGAATCAGCTCAAGGCCATATCCAAAATTTATAGCACACAAATGAAACTGCAATATGAATATTAATAAAGCAAGACATAAATTATGGTGGTACATATTTCTCTTAATAAAAATTAAAACACTCTAACAGCTGTCAATCAGTTCCTGACAAACTGTAAAACCTAATCAAACAGAAAATAGTTCAAAATCTCTTTCTAGTTATTTTTTTAAGGAATCCATGAAATCGCTTAATTAGTGCACTTTTCCTTTTCCTTTTTGTTCCAGCAGGATGTATGAAATAGCTAAATATATACATACTGTATAATGTAAGTACATAATCTTTAATTCATTTTTGTAACAAATACTTAAGTTTAATATTTGTATTAAAATGTGATGATACAGTTTTTATTAGTATTATTAGCATGATGTATTTCGAAACATGACAGTCAATGAATATTCCACTAAAACTGATTTAATAATATTTATTAATGTTCATAAACATTATTAATAATATAACAGTAAAGACATTTATCATTTTACAAAAGATTTATATTTCAAATGCATGCTGTTCTTTTAAACTATCTATTAATATTCTACAGTAATTAATAAAATATTAAGCAGCAGAACTGTTTTCAACATGGATTATAATAAGAAATGTTTCTTGAGCAGCAAATCAGCATATTAGAATGATTTCTGAAGGATCATGTGACACTGAAGACTGGAGCAATGACGCTGAAAATGCAACTTTGCAATCACAGGAATTAATTTCATTTTAAAATGTATTCAAATAGAAAATTGTTATTTTAAATTGTAATAATATTTCACAACAGTACTGAAATTTTAATCAAATAAATCCAGTGAAAATAAGAGAATTCTTTCAAAAACGTAAAAAAAATCCTATCAACCCATAAACATTTGAACGGTAGTGTATATGAATAGTTTTGAAATATTTCTTAAATTATCAAAAGTAGCAATCAAAAACATACACTCTATTAACATTTAATAATTTTTTTTATTTATATAATGTGCAATTGTTGATACATCTGGACATTGTTTGCTACAATGGTTACATCGTAAAAGTGTAGTCTCACCTGACTAGGTCTCTCTGCAGTTCTTCATGGCATCCTGCCGTTTGAGTGACCTGAGTCAGCAGCACGAGCAGAGCTCTGATTGGGTCCAGCTCCAGAAGCAGCACAGCCTCAGATGAAGCACACCGCCAGTTCCCAGCCTGCAACCTCTTCACCAGCACAGGATACAGGTCCCTGGAATGAAGCACACACTCACCGTCCGTCACTACAATCACATGCTTTGAATACATTCCCAAACATCTGTATATTCACAATTTGCACTGTATTTTAAAGTGTAAAGTTGCTGGTCCTCCTCACGTGTACAGATTGCAAGCCTGTCCGTAGCTGGCAGCCACTGCGAACAGCCTCAGCACCTCTGTACTGCAGCGAAGAGCTTCACCTGCTTCCAGCAACATCTCTGATGGTTCCACAACCACAAAACGTGACAAAACCTCCTTCCCTCCTAGAGAGTTAAGCTAAGACACACAGACTAATTACAGCCAAGCTTGACTTTCAGATAGTATATACTAAAATGTACAATTTTAGAGTATAAGAACACCCTTAAGGAAGTTTTACTTTAATTTTCCACTTTAATTAACCAAATTATTAATATTTGACATCAATAAAGCATAGTAGCCCACAGCAAGACTATATATATTCATATTTCAGCACAACAATATGGTTTGACATCTGAGTAGGAGACCTGTCACTTGTTTTAATAAGCATCATACTCATTTACTAAAGTGGGTGGGAGACCTGTCAATTTTGCAATAAGTATTATAATTATTCACAAGTAGTGGGTGCTTGACACTGTTAACCTACACAATTTAGTGGATACTTACTATTCTAGCACAAGCATGCCTCCCAGCACTTGCTAAAACACGAAGCAGCTTCATTGCCAAGGCAACAGGGAGCCCATACAAAGAGGATGGAGCCTGTGAGGTGGCAGGAGCCCAGGAGCAGGGAAGAAACTCAGCAATCACAGTGTTCATTAGCCGCGGACAGTCCAGGATCTGACCGAGAAAAAGGTTTGAATTTTAATGAAAAACAACAGAAATATTTGTGCAAACAATGTGTAAATTGTATCATTAGTCCAAATCTAAAGTAAAAACACAATGTAGCAGTGAAGTTCAGATCATAAGGTAATAGCAAAGTGCAGAGGATTCAGAACAGTGTTATTATTGTTAACTAAAACTAAAACTATTAATAATCATTTTCAGTAATTAAAATAAAGCTGAAATAAAATAAAGCATGAATATTAGATAAAAAAAGATGTTGCATTGGCAACTAACAGAAATGGAGAAGCTTAAGTTGAAGTACTAAACTTACTAAAACGGAAATTAAAATAATATAAAAAAATAAATAAATGAAAATGACAACAGCACATTATAATGTTACTAAAATGAAAATGAAAATAAAAGTGAATCCAAAATATTAATAAATACATAACAGAATATTATATTTATATATTTATATATATGTATATATATATACACACTGAAATATATTTGAAATATATTTATTTCATGCTGAGTATACTACAAATACATTTACATATTTATGTACTTAATAAAAATACCCTGCTATTGTACTTTTGGTGTCCTAAACTGGTATACTTAACATCTGCTAAATTGGAACAACTAATTTTGTACTTAATGCACTTTAATTGTGCAGAAGTAGTGCTGAAGTCCAACTAAAGATATACTGAAGTATATTTGATTGTGCTAAAGTGGAACAATTGCAAGTACACTTCAGGTACACTTTAAATGCCCTGTATTTCAAAGATCATACAATCCTCTTAAATGGTGACATTAAAACATATTTTAGGCTTAATATTAAGAAATGTACATTGTGCACAAGTAGTACTCCAAATAAAGTAAAATTATCATTTTTATATCAAGTCTCAAGAGATATGTCAGTAAATATGTTAATAGACTTGAAATATACTTAAATATATTTTAAATATATTATTGTCTTACTAGGGTATAAAATAACACTGGTTCAGAATTCAGCTACCTGTGTTGCTGCAGTAGTCGAGTGGCGAGCGATTCGGATCAGAACCTCCAGAATATCAAGAACAACCCGGGGTGAGGGCCGCACCACCTCCAGGATATACCGCAGCCGAGGAAGACCCTGCATCTTCAGAAAGCCCTGATGGCAACACAGAAATTTCAGTAATTCTGCATAAGCAGCAACTAACTTTACAGAAAGAGAGCAATCTAAAGCTGGGGACACACTACATGACTAGCTGAAACATTCTAAGACTGACCTCAACACACTTAATGACTGTTTCCATCGACTGGAACAGATTTGAGTCTTTGACAATCGAAAAGGAGCACAAACCTAATGACTGAGTCACTCCACTACACAACACACTTAACGACTGGCGCGTCACGACTGGACAAATTCTGCCAAACAAAAAAACAAAATACAACTCGCAAAAACCTCAGCTCTCGCCCCACAACACTGAGGACAACACCGGTGCGCTTTTACCTATTGAAACATTAAGGTCTGTTTTACTTTTCTTATGTGCTTAATTTAACAGAAAACATTAGTTTTTTTTCTGCTATGTTGGTGATCCTAATAAATGTCACAGCAATGTGTTTCGAATATGTTTTGCATTAAGTCCGATGCTCCTCTTTCTTTTTTGGAATTATTGAGTGAGTAGACACATTTCATTATGTATTTTCAAATGCCTAGGTCTATGTTTAATTCCCTTAATTATAAAATTTCTAGCCTATTTTTAAACGTTTAGTCCAGCAACAGTTTATTAATTATCTCATGTATGTCTAAAATCAGGGATTAAAAATGAATTGGTTCTAAGTAAAAAAGGTAGGTAAAATTTTTTTCGTTACATTAGGCTACTCGAGTTTGGCTACCGGTTAGAACGAAATAAAACATCACTTAATAAATTCAAGGCACTCTAATTTCCCCATCCATTTGACACAAAACTATTATATATAATTAATATATTTATAGAATAATTTTATTTCGTCATATTCGTGATTTATGATTTAGGCTATTCGTTCCTATATTCGTTATGAAGAAAATTCGTTAGCCGCCCTAGCCTATTTGTTATGAAGTTGATTTAAAATTCTTCATAACAAATTTGAAGAAGTTAAAAGTTGAGAAAAAATAGAAATAGCCTGTAGATAGGCCTATAGGCTAATTCAATTTTTTCTTAACTTTTATTAGACTGCAGATCGAAATAAAATAATTATTGATAATCTTTCAAATTAGAGCAATCACTGGCATAATTTAGGCTATAATTTTCTTCGACTGCAGAGAAAACGAAACCATTTAATTTGCAGTGTTAACGAATTAAAAGAAAGTCAAGAAAGAAATAACAACAAGAACTATCGAGATTTTTCTTGTAATCAAGAAAAAAATATGACAAAATTACAAAACGAATGCTGAATGATGTTTGACAGTGAACGCATCTGCTCTGTATAGCTGCAATCGCTGGTGTCAATCGCAAATATTAAACATGTTTAAAAAAATCTTTGTGAAAACGACTGGTTCTTTAATTCTAAGATTATAATCTTTAGATACCACACACTATGCGACTTTTTCTGCCGACTGTAAACAGCAACTGAACCCAACTGGAACAGACCCGGTCCGACTGGGCACGATCCGCCATCAAGACCAATCCATTCATAATCGACCTGACAGTCGTGTAGTGTGTTCTCGGCTTTAGACCCCAGTTACCTTGACAACATCCTGCCTAGCAACATCATGATCTGTTTTTTTTTCTTCTTTCTCTTTAGTAGTTTCTTTCATGGTCTCATCCAAGCCTTCATCATCCTCGTCCTCATCCTCCTGAGCAGTGGGCAGTAAAGGAAAGGTTGCCATCCCGAGCAGCCATGAGAAAGCATTATCCAAGCACTCCTAGGATGAGACAAATCAGAAATGTTGTGGTTACTTGTAACTTCTTGTGGCAAAAGTGCATAAACGATATGCAAGATGATTGTCTCTTACTTCATCGTCAGATGAAACCAGCAGAGCTCGCAAGGCATGCACAGCTGCTGACATCACACCCTCCACAGTGTCATCCAGGGAGAACCGCAGAAGAAAGAGGACTCCAGCATCCAGTAAAGAAGACAAGACGCTGCCCTTCAGAGAGGAAATGTACTCACCAGCCCGGGCCTGATGGAGAACACGTGTACAGTGTTTATAAGAGACAAATCTACAGAAACAGAAAGAAACAGCCACAAACCCTCTTTTGGCATTAAAAATCAAGTCATGATTTACTAAAGACAAGCAGTAAATAATTAGCAATGAAAAAGCGTGGATATATATGTCTTAACCCAGACAGACAGATAGATAGATGTGCATCTTTAAGAGGATCCAGCATTTACTCTCTCATAATACCATCTTTGTGGACTCAAATCTACAAGAAATATAATAGCTTTTCACAGCAACTCAATGAACTTTTGTTTTAATTTTGAAATGTTTGTTTACTTTGGCCAGGACATTAGCGAGAGTGCTGACGGCCAGATTGCGCTGTTGGTTCAGCTGACTGCGAGAGAGGAGGAAAAGCTCTTGCAGCGAGTAGCCAGCCAGCTGGAACAGAGGAGAGAGAGAAAATTATAGTTAGTATTACACATATACAACAACTACACACGCCTGCATTTGACTAACACAAACACCTTTTAAAAGAAGTACTGGCATCAGTTCTAGAATTTAGCTGAACCTACTCACCTCTGGCTCCTCTCCATGGTGATGCAAGCCTAAATGGGTGGGCAAGTCTTTGGTGGATGGGATGAGAGTGCCAGTAAAATCAAAACGTGCTTGCATAGCCTTTAATAAAGCATTCATGCAAACAAGAACATAGAATAGCATTTTTAAAGTCAGTACAAAAGGAAATGTCACCATATTTTCTAAATGAATGTTGTAGATCTTGCTTCATGCATGTTTCACTTTTTCAATTTAGTTTTGACCTTGTAATTTTTGTTCAAAATGTTATAACTTGATCTTCCAATGAGATGACAGACTTCTCTCTGGTGATGTATGCCAGACTTCTCCAATCATTTTGCATGCATGCAGCAATGTCAGTTGTAAGGGTGGGCGATATACCGGCAGAAATTTGTCAACCGGTAGAGATTTTGGACTATCTTTCTATCATGGTTACACGCTCACGTGATGTTGCTGTGCTACGTGATCACGAAAACTTATTGGTTTGTACGTGCTCAGAGCGTGGAAGTATTGAACTGCTTTACAGGCCTTGTTATATTTATAGGAAGTTATATTTGCTGCTTTATAGGCCTTGAACGGTTAAATACACAGACACACTTGTCAAAATGCCCGTCTTTGCAAGTATCCTCGTAAACACAGTAGGTCTTAAGTGAAAGCAAACAGCTGAGAAAGAAACTGTGTAACAGTATATTGGATCAGGGCAGCTCTTAAAGTGACAGCAGTCTAATATCCCTGCTGTCTGTCATTCATGTTAATCAAACAACAAAAGAGAAAATCTCTCACTGCTTTTGACTAAATGACTTTTGTAACTTTAATAAGAAGAAATATATATTTAATTGACAGTGATGAATATGCAGTGTTTTTATGAATTTGATTATTTTATACAATGTATGTACAATTTCTTATTTGTTTGTTCTACTGTAGTTTTTTGTCCTTTTGCTTGTAGTTCGTTTTTTTTTTTTTAATCGCCGACTGTCGTCAGTGAGCTTGAGTTTTTTTTTTTATTTAGGCTAGTATTAGTTTTTGTGATATTGACACGTGACATCAATTATGAAATTTCTATGGCATCAAAACTTTTGATATCATAAAGACCTTATTTAAAGCAAAAATAACTATATTGTGATATATCTCATTACTGTGAAATAAAACACCTCATACCATGATATATGATTCTGGTCATATCCCCCACCCTAAGTAAGTTGTATGGGATATTTTTACATAATTGTGAGAAGCCGAATAATTTGAAGTATAATTCATGTCTGTAGCACAAACAATGCAGTATTAGTTACAGTATGTGCCATTTTGGGGGTTTTAAAAAAACAAGTTCTACTGATGCTTGCCTTAACAAGCACAACTAAATAAAACAACTCCTAAGATTTAGTGGTTTGTACCTTATTGGTGCTCTGCTCCCTGGGTGCAGGAAGGTCTCTTGTCCATTCCAGTTTTTCTGGCTCCACCTTGTCCATGTGAAGCCATTCCTTTTGAGGCTTGATTGGCAGCTCCTCCTCTGTAAATAATAAATAACACCAATATTACAAATGATTAATAGTAACAGAGAGCAACAAAAAACACTAGACTTTCAGTTAGTTTAACAGCCTATTCCAGTTCCCATGTATATTGACATACACAGCACCACATGCTGACAGCAGTGCAACTACGGAAGGACTGTTCTCTGAACAGTAACCCCTGATGTGCTTCATCCATAAACGTCAGTGAGTTCCTCTTATCTCTATTACCTTAAAACAAATTGGTGCTTGCTCTAGCTAACTCTGCTCTAATCAGTCTAATTGAAATTGATGCATCTGCCTTAGCATGCTGGCCTCACAGCTTAGCTGGACAGATCTGCAAAGTGTACAGTCCTGAATATGCGTGGTGAGTTCCAAGCCGAGAGTGAATAACGAACTGGAAACCATCCAGCTTGTGCTGACAAGATTGAGAAGACCACATCCGGTACATTAGCTTTACTTTCTAATGCTGTATGCATGCAGACCAGTCCAAAGTCCCCATTCAGCTTTCTTCATGAAACTAAAGCAATGCTGTAATACTGAGTAGTATGTGTCAAATAAATCTCAAATACGTAGGTTGACTGTGTGTGTAATAACATTTTTACAACATTTATTCACCATGCAGTGGTAGATGATGTGATCTGTCTCTGCCAAACAAGCTCTGAACTCACTTACCTGTAATTGGAGGTTGAGCTACAAGCTGATTCTCATCTTCCTCATCATCCTCCATGGTATCCCTCTGAGACTCCTGAGCTTTTATTGTGTGGTCTAACTGTGGAGACGTGCTGTTAGGCAGAGGTTCATTCAGGAAGTCTTCTCTTTGCACAGGACCAGACGCTGACTCAGATCCTGGGGTTCTCTGTGCCTTTCGAGATCTCACGAAGTCTACTAATCTAGGGCCTGATATAAAATAACAACATGAGGGCGAAGTGAACAAAATGTCAGTTACAAAAGGCATGTTCCACAAATTAGGTCTAAAAATGAAGATATAAATAAAAAATAAAATCAACAACACAAAATGTTAACAAAATGGTCAGTGAAGGCTTCTTAAACTTCAGAAAACTGCAATCAAGCTCAGGAGGTCAAATTATGGACACTTTAAATTAAATATTTATTTTATATGAGGTTTGCAACCCTGCTAAAATATGGGATATTTCTTAGCAACAAATATTAAATATATCTACCGATCAAAAGTTTGGTGTCAGTAGAATTTTTTAATGTTTTTTTAAAGGGATAGTTTTTTTAAAGGTCATTCCAAACCCATAAGACCTTCGTTCATCTTCGGAACACAAATTAAGATATGTTTGGTCTTGCGGGTTTGGAATGACATGAGGGTGAGTAATTAATGACAGAATTTTCATTTTTAGGTGAACTATCCCTTTAAAGTCTTATGTACACCAATACTGCATTTATTTGATCAAAAATACAATAAAACTGTAATGATGTAAAATTTTATTACAATTTAAATTTTCAGAAGCCATTACTGTCTCTGGTGACACATGACCCTTTAGAATTCTTTATAATATGCTGGTTTGGTGCTCAAATATTTCTTATTATTATCAATGTTGTAAACAGTTGTGCTGCTTAATACTTTTGTGGAAACTGATATCTTTTTTCAGGAATCTTTGACAAATCGAAAGTTCAAAACATTATTTTATTTGAAATTAAAATCTATTTTAACATTATAAATGTCTTTACTATCAATTTAGATCAATTTAAAGCATCCTTGCTGAATAAATATATTAATTTCTTTAAAGAAATCTTAATGACCCCAAACTTTTGAATGGTAGCGTGCATCAAAATTAAATATAATTTATACAATTACTATGCTAGAATGGGTTTGCAAATACAACGGTTGCACATTATAATAATTCAGAAGACTAGCTTGTTAGGGACCAAATAATACATGTACAGGGATGGCCAAAAGTTTTGGCAGTGACATAAATTTTGTGTTTTGCGAAGTTTGCTGCTTCAGTATTTGTAGATTATTTTTCCACATGTTTCTATGGTATACTGAAAAACAGAGTTTTAAAGTCTTTTATTAGCAAAAAAATATAATGAGTCAATATTTACAGTGTTGACCCTTGTTCTTCATAACCTCTGCAATTCGCTCTGGCATGCTGGATATTAGCTTGTGGGCCAAATCCTGACTGAGGGCAATCCATTCTTGCCTTATTAGTTCTCGGAGTTGATCACAATTTGTGGGCTTCTGCTTGTCCACTTGCCTTTTGAGGACTGACCACAGCTCCTCTGAGATCCGGGGAGTTGCCTGGCCATGGATCCAAAATTTGAATGTAATGATCTTCGAGCCACTTCTTTATCACTCTTGCTTTGCGACATGGTGCTCCATCATGCTGGAAAATGCACATATCATCACCAAATTGCTCATGGAACCTGCTGCCATTCCTGAGCAAGCTGTGCACTGCTGGTGACACGATTCTGTAGCTGACTCCTCGGGAGGAGACGGTCCTGGCGCTTGCTGGACACTCTGGGACGTCCTGAAGACTTCTTCACTGCAGTCGAACCTCTCTCCTTGAAGTTCTTGATGATCCGGTAAATGGTTCTTTCAGGTGCAATATTCTTTGTAGCAATTTCCTTGCATGTGAGGCCATTTTGATGCAAAGCGATGATGCTGCACGTGTTTCTTTGGAGGTAACCATTGCTAACAAAAATACAATGATTGGAAGCCCTTCTTCCCTCCTTTTATAGCAATCAGTCTGCTCTTACAATCTAAGGCCCTGTCCACACGAACACGGTTATTTTTAAAACTGCAGCTTTTTCTACGCGATTAGGCCATTTGTCCACACGTAAACGCAGCACCAGTTCACTGAAACCAAACATTTTTTAAAACGCCTGCCAGGGTGAAGATTTTCAAAAACTTTTTTTGGCTTGTGACGTCTGCGCCTGCGCTGTTATCTCCGCCTACTGGAGACTTTTTCAGGCTTCTGATTGGCCAACATGGCTTTACGGTTGAGATTATATCGCCACCTGTTGGTTTGGCATGCTCTTGACAGTGATTCATAGCATGCGTTTGCGTTTTCATGTGGACGGAGATTTTTTTTTAAATGGAAGGAGGAAAAAAATACCCGTGTACGTGTGGACATGGCCTAATTAGTATGATAGTGATTTCACCTGACTAGTACTCATTCACACTTTCACATGTTATAAATATATTTCCCACAAACTAACAAATACATATTTGTATAGAGTATTATTTTTCCTTACAATAACCTGAGTAGGGGGCTGTTGACACAGATCACATTTTTTATATAAATTTGAAGATGTTTCATGTTTGGCATTAGAAGTTCAATTCAATTCAAGTTTATTTGTATAGCGCTTTTTACGATACAAATCGTTGCAAAGCAGCTTTACAGAAAATTAAGTTTCAACAATATATTTTGTAGTAGCTTATCAGTGGTGACTATGTCAGTTAATGTACATATGGCAGAAATGTACGGAAAATCAATTAAAGGATTAATTAAAGACGTAATCAAACAGACGATGAACACTATTAACAGCAATTATTATATGTTGCAATCAAACTTATAGCAAAATTTGGTAGTTCTGTATGTTGTTCCAGGGTTTGCATCAAGTGAAGAAGTGTCAGTGAAAGATATCGAGCTTACCAAGCTGTGCCAGCAGCTTCCTCTGTTCCTCCAGGATCTCACTCTGGGACATCGCCTGCAACTTTGTCTGATTCTCCTCATGGATTTTCATTGTCTCCATGCCACTATTTGCAATCCCAAGTCCTTGACCCGTAAGTAGCACAGGGCCACCAACACGGTCTGTAACAGAAGCCCAATCAGAAATCAAGCATGCTTTAGTTAACCATGAAAAACTTTGTGGAATGTGACAGCACTTACCCATTACATTTGACTCAGGTCGCTCAGTCTCCATATTCTGCAATGGTGAGAAGCTCACATGTCTAGATGCAGAAGACTGATCTCTAGTCTCTGAACAATTTAAAGACTGAACATCTTCCTTAGCCCTTTGTGCTGCAATTTGACGTGCAAAAATACTTTTTCTTCCTTTAGGAGCTCTTTCCTGCCCCTAAGCGCAGTGAGAAATACAGAAACTTCAGAGAAACAAACATGCTGGGAGGGATTTGTATGCATGTATAATATTTGCTCACCTCACTTCCCATTACAGATCTATGTAAGACTTTAGGGAAAGCAGCGCCTGTGATACACGGGAGCGACACAGGTACTGCACTCGTGTCCCTCTCCTTTAGGAAGACATAAACAATAAGCATGGCACTGGCATGTTGACATTCAGTCAAACAACAGGCACACTGTAATAAATGTGACTCACAATGATTCTAGATAGGACAGCACTGATGTGGGTATCATGTCTGTCCAGTCGCTCTCCTGGGTCCTCATCTTCAAAACGCACCCGCTCCTGTTTGAAGCGTGACTTCTTTGGAGGTGCAGGGGTCAAGGAGGGAAGCTCATCTGGAAGATCTGAAGGTGCAGATGAAATAATTTCAGTACAAAGTTAATATAAGTTTGTTTTATATCAGCCTGATCTTATTTAAGCAGGTCTAATGAAACTCATCATTAAATTTGTTCAAGAAAGAAATGTTTAAAGATAACTGACAGAACGTTCAGAAATTTCTAACCTACCTTCTATAGTCACAACATCTCTCTGGTTTCTCTGATCCTGTGCATCAGCTGCGGCAGCGTCTCCTCTGCGTTTATCAGGGCGCTTCACTACAGCGACAGTGGACTGACCGCCCGCCGCCAGAAGCTCCTGCTGCTCCCGGAGCAGATCCGCCTCGCTGTCCGTGGGCTTGGGACGCCGCAACATCCCAGCTCCCGAATTAACACAAGGGCGTCTAATGGTTCGGAGGAGACTGTCAGAAATAATAATGATTCAAGATTTAGCTCTCAAATTTGCCATTTCATCTTGTACTTCACTGACTGACAGTCTGAAAGTTTTCTTGTTGGCTTGCAGAGGATAATATGCACATTTCCAGCAAGTTTCTAATAGTATTAATAATCAGCCCGTGATCAGCACAGCAATGATGGAAATATTCCTTTATTGTAAATCCAGTTAGGTCATCTATCAGCTATTTGACTGAATATGTACACTAAACGCACAGCCACAACCAACACATGTAGAGTTTACAGACGTGACTTCAGTTCCGGGTTATTATGTGTAGCCATTACAAAATAAAAGCCTTTCGGTTTAAGAGCTTTTTATTTTTTACATAAAAGATTGCATCGTTATTAAATTATATAAATATATAATATAACACAAAATAATGCATTTAGTTTTATTATATATTCTTAATTTTCTTTTTATTTACATTACTAGAACCTTATTTTATTTTCCCTTTTCTATCGTCGAAATTGTATTATATTAAAATATACTATAATATTAATTTATTTTATATTAAAAATATTAAATAATACATATAATTTTATAAATATATCAACGACGAAGAGGCTCGATATAAAGGATAACAGAAATTATATTTGAACAAGAATATCCTAAGAGAAGCTTTATTAGAGAGATATTGTCTTAAAATGCATGTCTGAGTAGTATCTCTGGCTTTCCTCTGATCACTTTGGCAGTTTATACATGTAGGTACATCTGTTTATCATCACATAGGCTTATGTTTCTCATTATTCTATCTTATAAGTTCATATATTAGCAGGGAATTAACTTTTAAAACATTTCTACCCTATAAAATGCTTAATATTTAATTAGTAAGTTAGAAATTAGTTAATATCTAGTTAAATTTGTTGAATATCTTCACGGACAATATTTATGACAAACATGGCAAAACAAGCAACATCTTTATCTAATTACGCTGATCGCATCTCGCGCAGTTCAGTGAGTTCAGTATAAATACAAATCAAAGAATGAGCTTCGGTCTCCATGAGACTTTGGAGAGCGGTTGTCGTTTTTTTTCTTCTCCGTCCTCCGCAGTCTCCCCGCGGTCTCCGCCCCCCAGTCTGCCTGAATGGGAACACCCAGAGCGGGATCCCCGGCGTTCCTGGCATCCATCCCAAACACAGCACCGCCGGACAAAACAGCGTCCTGCTGAAGCGTGTTTAATTGAGAAAAGCGGCGTATAGCAGATAACATATTAGACTGCAATGTTACACCTGCCGCAGGATGTTGTCTCTAGATCTGGAAACTGATACTACTGCGGAGGACACAGCGCCAAGCACCCCAGATGGTGGCGCGGAGACACCGGCCAGTCTCGATGTGCTGGAAGAGGTATGAGATGAGTCTTATGAGTAGGCTACTAGATGTACCATAGTCATCATGGAGGAAATGGGATTTATGCATTATAACGCCTTGTAGACTCTAATTGTCTTCGTGTGGTTTGACTTGTTCCAGTAAAAGGCTGGTCACAGTAAAGGTATGTCTGAGATTGAGAAAATGTTATTGTAAATTCACTTATATTTGTTGTTTAAAAGAAACTGTTTTTCCCCCCCAAGCAATTCCTCTGCTTCCAATTGATGCATAAACTTTATGGTGCACAAGTTATTGATAATCATCCATAATGAAACTCTGAGTTCTTTGCAGTATAGTCAAAGATCACTGACTGCAGATCCAGATTAATAAACCCACTAGGATGCAATGCTTTAATCTAATTTAGGCTGTATATGGTTTACGCTTTAATTATTGTGGTGGTATTAAAATCATGCTACTGCTTGATGTACAAATTCCATAATGACAATAAATTTGACAAGACTCCAAGAAGGACAAACAGATCAGGTATAGCACTAAATCTGTTGTCATATTCACTGCACTCAGACGATTTGTGCATTGATCAACACCTCTGTAATACACTGCTGTAATTATGGAATTGCCACTGTGGAAAAGATTATATGCCTGTTAGCTTGAGAATCACCCTCACCACAGGGAGTTAGAGTATGTTTAACTCAGTATTTTGGATAAAACCTTTCATATATCACGCTAAATAGCCTGCCACTGTTGCTGATTCCAACCCGCATCTCTGATATTAATTTATTAGTGCATATTGCCTTGTAAAGCCTTCTGGTATGGCCTGCCAGTTCTGTGAATGTCCCTCAGCTCATCTTTCACACAAATCCTGCTTGCTGGAACTCAGAACTCTGATTTGATCTTTTCTAAAAATTAAATTTAAACTGGTACGTCGATTTCACTTGGTATTTTTAGATGTTATTCTTTATCAACAGCAGTAAACTACTATATATACACTTTAAAAAATGCTGGGTTAAATATAACCCAGCATTTTTTAGAGTGTACAACTTTACTGCTGTAGATAAAGATAACGTCTAAAAATATCAAGTGAAATCAACATTATTAGGCTATATCACATTATTAAATATATTAATTACGCTACACAAATTTGATTTAATAAAACATTTAATTTCTTTAACTAAACACTTTATTGAAGAGGATTCAAGTAGGCTGGTGAAGGAATGTTTGTTGTTTGTATTTTAATTTTGAGCAGTTGCTTCAAATTAAACTTCATTTTAGAGATGGTACCACAGTAAACCGACAAACAAAATCAGTGCCCCACATTCGGTATTCCTTAAGTCATTATCAAGTTTCATGTAATCTGCTTAGGCATCTTAGATCACAACCATATTATGTCCAAAGTTTCACTTATCCAAGAGCAGTGAGGATAAGAGCAGTTTTTCTACAGTATGCTTTTGAATGGCTGACTGTTAGCTCTGTCACAGTATTCTCTTTCATGTGGGATTTCCATTATTGATGTTGCACCTCACTCTCCCCTCTTTAAAAGCCTTTCAACCCTTATAAATATCAGAAGCTGTGGTATTAGCTGCTGAAATGTACAGACACTTATGGGACAACAGCATACTTTCTCAACTCAGATATCATCCAGAGTCCATTTTATATTCAAAACACAAACTTTTCAGATTTTGGATCAGTTAAGTTAAATAAAATTAGCCTCTTAGTATGTTTTATTCAGTGAACTTTCAGTAATATCTGACATTTTCATCATAATTTGTTTTCAGAAGCTCAGCACCCTTGAGTGAGATTCAAACCCACAAACTCAGAATCAGGAGCAAAGATCCTTTTCCACTTACAAACAACTTCTGTGCATTGCCAAAGAGGTGTACCAAGTCCAGAGTTAGTACACAAAAGCATTGCTGAGCTACTCTCCTGCAGGTTTTGAATATAAAAAATCAATTTGATAGATTTTGTCTGGCATTGATTGAAGACGCAAGACAAAGTTGCAATGACATCCACCATATTTTGCTTCATCCATACCATTGCCTGGATTCACAGTATGATTTTCACGATGTGGAAGAGAAGGCAGAAATTGTGGAATAGCATCATAAAAATGGAATTACCTGTAAAATGTTCAAATGGTTAACCAGTTTAATACAGGCCAATTATCTGAAGCTAGTGAGTGCTTGTCTTAGGTTTAATAGACATAATCTGAAGACTTTGTGCCAGGATGTACTGTAAGTAAATAAGTCTGAACTGAGGGATTGCAACAAATCCTTAGTCTTGTCAGGCCCCACTTTCTCACATAGATCTATATATCCCTCTAGTCATGTTGAGGGTTTACTGTCAGAGCATTGTCTGCACTTTATTTGAATTAGACTCAAATGAATGTCCATTGCAGATACAACTATTTGAAAATCTGGATTCTGAGGGTGCAAAAAAATCAAAATATTGAGAAAATCGCCTTTAAAGTTGGCCAGATGAAGTCCTTAGCAATGCATATTACTAATCAAAAATTAAGTTTTGATATATTTACGGTAGGAAATTTACAAAATATCTTCATGGAAGATGATCTTTACTTAATATCCCAATGATTTTTGCCATAAAAGAAAAATCTATAATTTTAGCCCATACAATGTATTTTTGGCTATTGCTACAAATATACCCCAGCGACTTAAGACTGGTTTTGTGGTCCAGGGTCACATATGAGGTTAAGATATTTTTTTATGAAATCCGAGAGCTTTCTGACCCTCCCATAGACAGCAACGCAACTACCAAGATCAAGGCCCAGAAAGGTAGTAAGGACATCTTTAAAATACTCCATGTGACATGTAATTTTTTTAAGCTACGAGAATACTTTTTGTGTGCAAAGAAAACAAAAATAGTGACTTTATTCAGCAACTTCTTATCATATCAAAGCCTGTTTACAAAGTCTATCATGTTTACATCTGCCAAATGCCAATGTCTGTATGCAGTGTGTGCATATATATACATGTATCTTGTAATATTTATACACAAACATACATCATACATATATTTCTTTTACCCTCTGCACAACTCTGTATACAGTGGATTGATTTGAATAACTTTAATGTACTTTAAGTGTGCACCAAACATACATTAATGTAATATACAAGTATCGGATCGGGACTCAGTATCAGCAGATACTTAATATTCAATGACTCGGATCGGGGGCACAAAAAACCTGATCGGGACATCCCTAGTAAATTTTTTTTTTTTTTCATTATTCTATTTAGCTTTAATTCTTTTTTAAGTTTGTCATTTTAGTACTTCAACTTCAACTTATTTCAGTTAGTTGGTAAGGCAACATTTCTATTTTTGAATTTTTTAAGTTTTTCATATAATATTTACATTTATTCTTTTATTGTTATTTTTCAGCTTTATTTCAATTACCAAAAACATTGTTTAATAGTTTTAATTGTAGTTAACAACACTGATCTAAATATATTTTATTCTTTTGTCCAATATAATTTCCTCATATAAGTGACATTAAATCTCTGATGGTTTGTATTGTATTCATTACCTCTTGTTTTCTTATTCACAGTATTCCCAGCAAGCCTGTGTGCCTTATTGTGCGTTCACACCGCCGCCGCCGCCGTCGAGAACGTCAAAAATCGCTCTGGCCGCCCTGTTAACAACGCTGTAGAAAGATTCGTGGACGCTCTGACATAGATCGAATGCTTATCTTGTATTTAAAGGGGTCGCAAAGCAAACACGCTTGTTGATCTTGTGCAGACTGACCACAAGGAGGGTAACGTTAAGTTAACCTCATTAAATATTGTTGTGGACGAAGTATTAAAGGTCCCATGGCAACCTCATAATGTATAAAGCACTAATACCACACTGGTTATATACTGGTATACTTTATACTGGTTATTATACAGAGTATAAAAATACTCTGATACAAGTAAAAGTCCTGCATTGAAAATGTTACTTAAGTAA